TTGGCATAGGATAGATGAAATCATATTAAGAAGGTTTTTGTATTTGAAGAGTAGTTTATGTTAATCCTAGTGTCCTTGAACATCATATTCATTCCCTTATTGTACGTAAGGGGAGCTTTATTGAATAATACACAAAAAATTTCATCATTTAATAAATCAAACCACCTAAGCTTATTTTCAGTTATTTTATATTTCTTATAAACCGCTCCAATAATTTCTCTAATGTAATTATTGATTATTTTTTTTTCACAAAAACATCTTAATAATCTTATTCCCATCATACTCAATTTAGTTATCAACTACATTCTTATTACCCGACGCTTGGATTCATATATCTCTAGCCCATTACATATTTGTAATACCATGATGGCAGTTCTTCATTTGAACCACTTAACCTTTAGAAGTTGTGACTTAATTATTGTTGATATAACATCTACTAGATCTGCATATACTGCACTCAGATTTTTATTTCAGCCCTTTCTCTTCTAACAATTTTCTCTATTATTATAAATTTGCATATAGTGCGCTCATATCACTATAAAAATAAAAAAAAAAGGCATCTTTCTTTGGTATTATTTGCAAGCATTTTCATAATCAATATTAAATGATATCGGCTGGTTGTAATCACACAATTTTTTAGAAGCCTTTCGTCACCTTACATCTGGTAATCCTTATCAGTGTTTTATTATATTTATATTTTTAATTCTATTAAATATATGTTTAACAACTTAAATGGTACCTTAAGGCACGTCAAATCTATTCTTGTGACGCTTAATCCAATGCTTTCTTTAGTCAGCACAGACCATATGATGATTCTTTCTCTAATGCTTTACTTTCGCAATAATTATCTTACACAAAAAAAGCTACCATAGTATTTCTTTTTGGTTTCTTTGAGGTATACACAATTGTTCTCATTACTTTCATAATTTTATTATATAGCACATAAATTTTATTCCTTTATAGTTAGCAGATATCTAAACATTTTTATTGTTATTAAATGTTGATACCAAAATACATATGGTCAAATAATTTTGCATTCTTTTATACTTTAAAATTTATTGAAAAGTTTTGTTAAACAAATTTCTGTAATATTCCTGGTAATTCTTCACATCTTTATCTGCATCTTACATAATCTAAAGCTTTTATTTATGCATAAATTTGTAGACATAGCTATAGTTTTTTTATTTTTTAATCAATCTATAGTATGCCTCATTATATTTTTCAAAACATCTTTTCAGAATAATTTTTTTTTCTGAAACTTCATTTAGCTGTTTCTCAAAGTGTTATTTTTATCTTTCTTGGATATCTTCATCTTCAACTATTATCCATCGCATACTTATAATGCATTAACTATTCAATACATCTTTTTTTCTTGTTCTTCATCAGTATAAGCTTATAATAAAAATTATCAAACCTTTTAGCTTTTTATTTTCCACACTATACCCTTCACAAGACTTCTAACCTTTTTATAATTATGATGAGTCCTAGTATGATTAAATTCATGCTACTCTTTAAAATCATATTTTCTTTTTTTGAGATTTTATATCTTACTGATTCCTCTTACGTGATATTCAAACTTAGGGTCAAGCCAATGTTTTTCAAGAATAATATTATAATTTGTGATGAATTTAATGCAGTAATGCACAGAAGCGTGCACACATTAATATGTGAGTGGATTTTCGTTGCTGTATCATCCATGATGCCTAAAGCTCTCCATCTTGTTTATCGCAGACAATGACCACTTTCATGCCTCCGCCACCAACCGCAACCTTTCTTGCTTTTCACCCTCAGGACAACAATATCATTGCCATAGGCATGGATGATTCCTCCATCCAAATCTATAATGTGCGGGTCGATGAGGTTTGATCCTTCTCACTAACCAATGTTTTTTAGCCTAATGGTTTTACTAAATTGCATTAATCAGAACTCCTCATTTCTATTTCTGTTTGTATTTTTGCATTCATTAGGTAAAAAGCAAACTCAGAGGGCATCAAAAGAGAATTACAGGTCTCGCATTTTCGAATGTTCTCAATGTTCTGGTATCTTCCGGAGTAGATGCTCAGGTATTTTTGCAGCATAATCTCATGAGAACTATATAAAGCAGTATTAACCTCGAAATATTATATTCTGTTACATCTTATGAATAAAATAAATTAACTGTTTCTGTTCTGATAAAAAATTCTCTTCTTTGTGGGCAGTTGTGCGTATGGGGAATGGATTCCTGGGAAAAACAAACCAGCAAATTTTTGCAGATACCACCTAATCGAATGTCAGGTTCATTTGCGGAAACGAAGGTACAATTTCACCAGGACCAGGTTCAGTTTTTGGTGGTTCATGAATCCCAGATCGCAATATACGAAGCAACAAAATTGGACTGTCTTAAACAGGTGGGTTGTGCCATCCTTTTTATTTGATTGCATTTATTAGATCCGAGTTGGTAAAAATTTGAATATGTTTTTGTACCTTAAATCTGCTGCAGTGGATCCCACGGGAGATGTCTGTAACACACGCCACGTATTCATGTGATAGCCAAATGATATATGCAACTTTCACAGACGGAAGTGTGAGTGTCTTCTCTTCAGCGCTTCGATTGAGGTGTCGGATAAGCCCCGCGGCCTATCTAAAAACACCACCAAGGTATGTTGGTCATTTCTCATTTATTTAAGAGAAATTTGCATGGATAACCACAACAATTTATATGTATTTACATACCTAACATCCAAAGTTTGATATTTACATCTATAACACTTTTGTGTCATAAACTTATGCATGAAAAAGCGTATTTCACTTTTAGAAAGATAGTGATTGCTGTATTTTTATTGTGATGTTAAAATTGAGTGGCATGCATGTAAATATAAATGCTTAGGTGTTATATATGTAAATACATAATTTCTTTACATACTGTAACTTCCAAACTTTGTTTTTTTACATTTAGACACCTCATTTCTTTCATATCACATTATTTTGATGTAAATGTTCCCTTATTTCAATGTCAATCGTATATATTTTCTTGGGAAATTTACATAGGGAGCATTCAAATCATATGTATTGTATTTACATCTCACACCTGAACTTTCATATATATATATATATATATAT